AGGCCGGAAACATCAGCCTTTCTGCTCCTATGATGCTGCTTGGCCTGCTGTGTTCATCCAGCCCTGCACCTTGTTGTCTCGGATTCTCCAGCATCTGCAGTTCCTACTATCTCTTTACCAAGAGACTGGCGAGAAGGTGCAACATGACACCACAGAGAGGGAGAGATGCAAATAGTTTAGATGCATCTAGGGGAAAGCTACAAAAAGACACCAGACAGGAAGGAATTGAAGGAAAGGCTGGTGTGGGAACAGGTTGAATGCAAAAGAGAGATGGCAGGCAAGAAGAAAAGGAGAACTGTTTATCGCTGTCTGAGCTTGAGGCCCCTTGCAGTCTAGAGGTTTTTGTTGTTTGATAGGGAATCTCCAAACCTCACCCTTCCAGTCAGTGTTAGGGTCTGTTGCAAAGGTATAGTAAACTGGCCCCACGATCTCATTCATGCCCTGAACATAAGCAATTCCTGGATTCAGTTTGGCGTAGATGAAAAGAATTCTTTCGACCACCTCCCAGTGAGCCTCACAGCCGTTGGGAAGCACTTCGTATTCATTAGCTGATGTTGTCTTGCGAGGGGAGGAAACCTGTTCAAAGAAAGGATGGGGAGGGAATCAGCAACAGCGGGAAAAACAGAATAAAAACCATTGCAAGAGTGTGCAGGATGGGTGCTCCCCTGCAAATAATTGCAACAAAATTTGATAACAGCAGTGTAGGTCCCATCAAATATTTGGAATTGCAATTTTAAACCACTTAATGCTCAGTGTAAGAATATAGTTCTGATCACATTGTTTTAATATGAATGATGTTATATCAAGGCAGTGCTGTTATGGGAATGTCACTGGACTAATAATCCAGAGGCCAATAACATGAGCAGAGGGATCTGGGGATACAGATACACAATAAATTAGGTAGGAACACCAATAAATTAGGCAATAAAAAGAAATATAGCACTTTGATTGCTTTCCAGAGGGATTACAAAAGCTCAGAAGTTTTGTTAAATTTCGTAAAAACTTTAGATAGATCATACTAGAAAGCACTTTGGAAAGTTCTGATCTCCATATGACTAAAATGATTAGAAAAACACTGAAGATGCAAAAAGATTTACAACAATGATATAAATATGCTGAAAGGGCATAATTAACAAAAGGACCAAACAGGCTAAGCCTATTTTCTCTACAGTAAAAAAGGTGGAGGGATAACCAAAACATTTTAAAAGTTAAGACAAATTAGATGTGGATAAGGCATTTCCACTAAACAGTCATAATTATAAAATAGACACCAATTAATCCAAAGGGAATGAGGGGAAACGTCTTTTCCCAGAAAGCAGTGAGAAAGTGATCTCACTTTCATATGGAGTATGTGAGGTCAGTAGCATAGATGAACAAAAAGACATGCTGATAGGGGAGGAGGATGCAAGGTGGAAGAAAATTGGTGAAGAAATTATCAGCATCGACCAGCCAGGCTAGGGGTGCTAGAGACACAGTGGTAACGTCCCTACTTCGGAGCTCAGAGGGCCGGGCTCAATCGCCCCCCCACCCGCTCTAAAGATGTAGAATAACATCTCAGAGCAAGTTGACAAGAAAATATCTAGGCCAGCCGGGCTGAGTGGCCACAGCTGTCGTGCATATGTAATAAGTGCAGCCAGTTAGCTTTAAACAGTATACCAACAAATCTCACTTTTGGAGAGATCACAGACACAACATTGGAGAAAAATGACACTTTATATAACAAGCAGTAGGTTAGTAAGATTGAAGAGCCATTTCTGAAGAAGGGTCTAGGCCTGAAACGTCACCTGTCCTGCTCCTCTGATGATGCTTGGCCTGCTGTGTTCATCCAGCTCTACACCTTGTTATCTCGAAGAGCTAATGGGTTGTGTTCAACAACCTGCTCTGCAACCCAAGGGTCAGAAAATGCCCAAAGTTAAACTCAGCAAGAATTGGGCAAGGTAAATGGAGTTAATCACCAGACAGGCAAATTGCTGCTATTTAGTTATTAAAAGTAGGATTGCCCTACAATGAGGACCTTACGTTTGTAACGCCGCTCCGATTGTGTGCAACAGTCTGAGACTTCAGTGTGGTCTGCTCTACCCGCCTACGAAGCGTTTCAAACTCATTCTGGGGGTCCATGATCAAAAGACACGGGTAGTCAGTGGGACGCTGAAAAAATGCCATGTCTGGGTATAGGCGTCTAGGAGAAAGAAAACAAGTTAGGGTTGCAGGCAAGAGTAGAGCTAACTGTATACAAATTGGCACACATAGACAAGAGGGCAGTTCGGTGTGATAGAAATTTTCAATTTTACCCCACTGTTTACTTTCACCATCCTCCCTTCCCTACAAGCAAAACACAAGATTTATCAGAATAAGTGGGTTATATGGCGTTGTCACTGTCATTTCAACAACAACCAGCTATTTCAAGAATTGCAGCTCTTGGATTGAACTTTTTTTAATATCAAATGGCAAGCAGATTAAATTTTCCAAACACTGTCCCCTTGCATTGAGAAGAATATGCTTTTATTTATCCAAAACTAGAGAGGTAACAATCAGGTGAAGTACTGGTAGCTCTGGGTCTCGTATTGGCAACATGAATGGGAACTAGTGGTGTAATGGTACTGTCAATGGACTAATAATTGAGAAAACAGGCTAATGTTCTGGGGGTATGGGTTCGAATCCCACCACAGTGAATGGTGAGATCTGAATTCAATAAAAACCTAGGCTAACAGTGACCATGTTACCACTGTCAAAAACTTCTGGTTAACAAATTCAGGGATGGAAATCTGCCATCCCTACTCTGTCTGACCTACATCCAACTCCAGACCCAAAACAGCTTCCCTCTAGGCAACTGGGAATGGGCAATAAATGCTGGTCTAGTCAGGTGATGCCCAGATCCCATGAATGAAAAACGGGGCAAGTAGTGAGAGGTGATGAATTATGAACACGCAAGAAATGCACATATGTGGACATGACAGGAAAAAATTCCAGACTACTTAGAAAGTACAGAGGAATGGAACTGCACAACTGAAGTATTGAGTCCAATTACCTTTTTCTGCTTTGTACGATTCTGTAACTCAAGATACTACAACCCCTCCTTTGGCAAATTACCACTGCCTGCAATGGCTCAAGATTCATATCCATCACTTTGCTGGGTAAACCAGGAAATTCCAGCATTGATAATGTCATCCACATCTAGACAATGAATAACTAAAACAAGGACAAATCTTGCAAGCAAATGTCTCTTTTCCAGGCCCTTACTTCAAATGTTGAGTAAACCTGTGTTGGAGAAGTCAATGCCCACATCCCAATAACTATTAAAAAATATTTATAATATTTGGAGGATCCAAGGGATATCGGAAGACAAGATGGAGGTCGATACTGCGACGAATGGTGAGAGATCTAAATAGGCACATACACACAAAATTAAAATCTTTAAAATTCTGGATTTCAATCTAGTGGCATATGGGCGCTGGTTGTCTTCTGTGAAGGGATTTAAATATTAATTAGGTTAGTCATTGCAAACCATGACTTTTAAACCGTATGTATTGGATAACAACTGAGTGCTAAGCCTCCTAGAGTGTTAATGGATGTTTGCTGATACCACAGGGTTTTACAACATAAGAGTAAACCAAAAGCCATTAACTTTGACAGCATCTAGGATTAGCAAGGCTTTTTAAAAAAAAAATAAATTTAGTTCAAAAGCTTTTGGGTCAGTTCAAAGGAGACCTGACAGGGGTCAGATGCAAGTATAGTCTCTACTGGAGTAAAAGGTATTGTTCAGAGCAATTATGAAGGTAGGTCACCTCCATGAAGAGTGTAGTTTGTGAAAACTTCCAGACCAGGCGTGTTTCGTTTGAAACTTGCAATGGCTATTCAAGATGAGAAAGTCTAAGATCTAAGTTGTGTGTTCAAATTTCCAATAAAATTCAAAGAAAAGGTTTTGCAGTTCATAGGATAGGAACAAAAAGAAAACATTACATCAGGCCAGGGACAGGGAAGGAAAATTTCTCATTTTGATCAACTGAAAGGTGCTGGGAGCAGCTGAGATATTATCTTGCCGTGTGTTTTGACATTTTTCAAATGACGTTATATTTAGATAGATGGGTTTATTTTGTTTCTTCGTTTGTATAATCCACTTGTTTTATTGCTAAACTATATCTGTTGCCATACTTGCCTAAGTTTCAGTAAAAGGCCAACATGTCAATTCAAAAAAAATTCCAAATATGAATAATCAAGCCAAACTTTATTCTAGGTTCTGAACTTTCAGTAGCAACCTTCTTATAATCATAGAATCCTTATAGTGTGGAAGCAGGTCATTCGGCTCATCAAGTCAACACCACCCGTCTGAAGAGCATCCCACCCAGATCCACCCTAATCCAGCATTTCCCAAGGATAATCCACACATGCCAGGACACAATCCATCTAACCTGCATATCTTGGGACTGTTGGGGGAAGCCAGAGCACCTGCAGGAAATCCACACAGACACAGGGAGAATGTGCAAAATCCACACAGACACCTAAGGCTGGAATTGAGACCGGATCCACGGTGTTGTGAGGCAGCAGTGCTAACCACTGAGCCACCGTAACATCAGCTGCAATCATAATACATTCTTTACTGGTAAGAGTCAGAAGGATTAAGTAGCAAAGAATCATACAAAGTTGAGGCACAGATCAGCCAGGATATAAACAACTGACGGAACAGCCTCGAGAGACCGAACAGACCCCATCCTCATCCTAAATTCCAGACCAATTGCTAAATGAGGGAGCTTGCTATATCCAAATGGACTGCCAGGTTACACTGACATAAACAAAAACATTGAAGTGACTTAATGACTGCGAAGGTGCTTTGGAGGATGTCACACGTACACGAAAGGTGCTACATAATAATTTGCTTTTGTCATTTCTTTCTGCTTACCGAACATCTTTGTCCACTTGCAGGAGAATCTCGTTGTCCTTGAAGTACGTGTTCCATCGACTGTCAGGGTTTGGATTCAAGGGCTATTAAGGGCAAAGGAGAGATTAAATTGCAAAGTAATTTCACAGTGAGAAAGGTACAAGGTGGCATGGTGGCTCAGTGGTTAGCACTGCAGCCTCACAGCGCCAGGGTCCCAGGTTCGATTCCGGCCTCAGGCGACTGTGCGGAGTTTGCACATTCTCCCTGTGTCTGTGTGGGTTTCCTCCGGGTGCTCCGGTTTCCTCCCACAGTCCAAAGATGTGCAGGCTAGGTGGATTGGCCATGCTAAATTGCCTGTAGTGTTCAGGGGTGTGGGGGTTATAGGGGGATGGGTCTGGGTGGGATGCTCCAAGGGTCAGTGTGGACTTGTTGGGCCAAAGGGCCTGGTTCCACACTGTAGGGATTCTATGAAGGGAAAATTTGCCAGAAATTAATCACTATTCTCATAGAAGCAATTCCCACCACTCAATCTAGCCAGATCAATTAATTTTAAAACGGAGACTGATGGGTACATGAAGTTACAGATCAGCTATGATGTCACTGACTAAAGTTAAGACTTGAAGAGTTAAATGAACTCCTCCTGTCCACCCAAAACAACAACAACATACATTTGCCAGGTACCGTGGGCATTTTATAATGTTTAAAGTGCTTCACCTGAGCAACTTCAAACATGACAGGCACCTAAGGAAATATTGTATTAGAACAGGTGACTAAAAGGGTTTGGTCAGAAGGCGCTGCTCCGAAAGTTTGTGATTTCAAATAAACCTGTTGGGACTATAACCTGGTGTCGTGTGACTTCTGACTTTTAAGGAGAAGTAGGAAAGGCTAATGCTATGGGGACTTGGATTCAATCCACCACAGGAATGGGTGAAATTTAAATACGATTAATTAATAAATCTGGAATTGAAAGCCAATCTCAGTTTTATTGTCGCCACTGCTATCATTGATTGTCATAAAATGTCACCTGGTTCACTAATGTCCTTTAGGGAATCAAATCTGGCAACCTCACACACCCTTCCAGACACAGCAATGGGACTGATACACATGCCCTCTTAAATGGCCAAGCAAGCCACTCACTCAATTAAAGGCCAATTACAGACAGGCAACAAATAATGGCTTTACCAGCGGCATGTGTCGAAAAGAATTTAAAAAAAAATGTATAAAAACACAAACAGCCACAAGCCACTAATAGTTTCAACGAAGAGAACTCGGACACTGCTAAACGTTAGAGTGCGACAAGGCTGTGCAAACCTTTAAAAATAAGGATATGACCTCAGTTACTGAGTTATTGTTAGACTGAATGCCAGTGGTGGTCAGAGAGCATGGTGCTGACGGGTGAACAGGACTTGGGGTGGAGTTTGGATGTGGACAAGTTTTTAAAAATTAGGATTATTGCACAATGAAAGACATCTTTTAGCGACATATTATTCACATTTATTACTTTCTGCTTCCTTTCTTACATTGGATCACTTGCCCTTCATCTATCGCAGATTTTCCTTATTTTCCTCCCCCTTGTGTCCTGAAAAATCCTTTTTCCCTGGTTGTGTATATTAAATATCTGATATTTTTCAGTCTTTTTTTTAAAAAAGACGTTTGTGGAATGTGGGCGACAATGGCTTGGAGCAGCATTTATTGCTGATGTGAAGTTGAGAGTCAACCACATTGCTGTGGGTCTGGAGTCACGTGTAGGCCAGACCAGGTAAGGACAGAAGCTTCCTTCCCTTAGTGAACCAGATGGATTTTTACAACAATCCACAATAGTTTCATGATACCACTAAACTGTTAATTCCAGATTTTATTGAGCTCCAAGCAAAGGTCTTGCGAGCTAGGGTGCAGAGCAGATTTTGTGCTTGAGAGGCTGCACAGATTTTCCAGAGGCTTGGACTGGAACAATTCAGCATGGCTAGATTGGCTGGGTTTATTTTCCTTAGAGCAGAGAAGGTGCTTGGGGGGTGATGCTGATTGAAGTGTTTCAAGTTTGAGGAGCACAGATAAGGCAGTTGGGAGAAACTTTTCTCTTTAGGAGAGAGAGCAATAACCAGGGCACATAGGATTAGGTAAAGGACAGGAGACGTAGAGGGGTTTAAAAAAGAATGCTTTTAACCGGATGGAGGTGGGTATCCGAAACACACTATCTGAAAGTGTGTTACAGCAGGAATCATCACAATATTTAAATAAGCATACAAGGCTATGAGCCAAGTGCTGGAGAATGGGATTAGAATAGATAGATGCTTGATGACAGGCATGGACATGATGGGCCGAAGGGCCTCTTTCCTTTGTTGTAAAAACGTCTATAACGTGGAACCTTAGCATTCTGGCTCCTGCCACAGATGCTGCTGAGTCCATTCCTGAGCCAGCTTTTTTATTGTCAATTTCCAGAATGCTGCTTTTGATTTAACCACAGTGAAAGCCAGTTTAAAAAGCCCGATTTATCACACGAACATCATCCAATGTATTAAATCACCACTGCTGATGGGATCACACTTTGAGCAACACACATAGTCCCAGTCACGGGGTGAGTAGCAGAGTGTGGAAAGGAAGGAACGGGGAGGAAAAATTTATGAAATGTGGGGTGGATGCACAACAGGAATTTTAAACAATCCTAGCAATCCATCTGAAACTAACAACAGATTCAGTACAAGAGACAACAAGGTGCAGGGCTGGATGAACACAGCAGGCCAAGCAGCATCATAGGAGCAGAGAGGCTGACGTTTCGGTACTTGGAGCCAACACATCTAAAGCTTATCACTGTTGAAATTGCTTGACAGAAAGGAGGAAGGAAACTCACATGATCTTCTAGCGTGACATCCTCTCTGATAAAGCCCAGATTTGCTTTGGCGATCCCAGGCTGAATAATCATCTCCTTCAAGAACTGTGCATATATCTCCCTGCAATTGAATAAACCACTCGAGGTCAGGTTAAGTCCAAGCAGGTTCAGATTCTAGCAGCTCCGACAGAACACACTGCCGACAGACTCCTGACACCAAAATAAACACCCAGTGGCCACTCTGCCTCCCATCCTGCCTCATTCTGCAGAGAAGGTAATAAAGAAAATTGCAATATATGTCAGAGCTTGCACTCTAATATTATGTTCTACCCACCATACCTTCAGCATGGAATTACGTCTCACAAACTAGTCTGTTTAATAAATCTTGCTCAATTAGTCAAAAGGTTCATTGCAAATATCTCAGAATTGGCAGACAAATGCTCAAATTAAGTTTTTAACTAGATAACAAATAATTAGGAAACAATATTTTAAATTCTTATAGCACATCAGTACTGCAAGCAGACGCCTCAAAAACTAATCCTTTTCATTGTGAGACAGTGTTAGTCTTACAGGGGACTGTGTATACTAGCATACTGTTACTGATAGACATTGGAAATAAAGTGAAAACCTCTAATAATGTTTGGGGGCTGATGTTTGGGTAGCGTCCCTATCACTGAGCCAGAAGGTCTGGGTTCAAGTCCCACCGATTCCAGAGGTGTGTCATAGCTCAACAACAAGGGTCACCGGACTCGAAACGTTAACTGTTTTTTTCCTTCACAGATGCTGCCAAACCTGCTGAGCTTTTCCAGCAACTTCTGTTTTTGTTCCTGATTCACAGCATCAGCAGTTCTTTCGGTTTTTATTTAATGTGTCATAGCTCACCCGAACACAATGTTTAAAAAAAAACAAATCCTTGTGTGGAGACAGCGCCTTTGGGTTGTGTATTGTGGAAAGTCTAATAGTGTTTGGGTCGGGGATGATGAGAATGGGTGCAGAGTTCCATGTGGTTTCGGAAGAGGGTTTAAGGCTCCCTCACTCTTCATCACCCTCAAACGACAGAATGAAAAGTTCAGCCTTGAGACTTAATCTCTCCCTGCGCCCCCATCATCAAACCAAATAGTTGGTCCTGGTGGAGTCACCCAGAGACACCAACAGAAAATGGTTTCTTACCTCTGCTTCTTCAGGAAGGAGCTCCACTGGGCCTGCTCGGTGGGAAGATAATTGAGGAGGATCTGGGGAAAGACAAGAAACCGTGGGTTTTAAAAGAAGTTAAACAGAGCAAAGCAATGACTCGTTACTGTCTAATGCACTGATAACAAGCCATTAGGCTTAACTGTCCCACAGAGGTGTTTACATACCACACCAACCATTTCCCAATCCTCTTCATCTCATCCTTTTGTCCACGTTTATGTTGCACACCCTTCAATACATTTACAGTAGCAAATTCCACATTCTCACTATTGCCTGGGTAAAGATTCCTCCGATTGGATTGATTGCCGACCATCTCATAGCTATGATCCAGAGTTGATTTTTCCCAAAAAATGGAAACATCTATTTTAACCCTATCAATTCTCTTCATAATTTTAAAGACTCTATCACACTGCCCCTCAGCTTTCTCTTTTCTAGAAGTGTAACCAGCATGCTGTTCAGTTTTACTTAATAGCTGTAGATCCTAAATTCTGGTACCCTCGTAACTTATATTGTTGATCATCCAACTCAATGGCCTGTTTCCCCCCCGCCAATATTCTTTGAACCCTTTAGTCTCAAGCGCTATATCCAACTTCTTCTTGAAATCATACAATGATTTGACTTGAATTGCTTTGTGTCCACAGGCTCACCACTCTCTGGGATTGAAATTTCTCAATCTGTCCTAAATGACTTACCTCATATCCTTACACTGTGACCCCTGGTCTGGAGTCTCCCCCCACCATTGGGAAGATTCTTCCTGCACCTACCCTGTCCAGTCCTGTTAGAATTTTATAGGTTCATACAGTCATACAGCATGGAAACAGACCCCTTGATCCAGCCAATCCACGCCAACCATAATCCCAAACTAAACTAGTCCCACCTGCCTGTGCTTGGCCCATATCCCTCCAAACATTTCCTATTCATGTACTTATCTAAATGTCTTTTAAATGTTGTAACGTTACCCCCATCCACCACTTCCTCTGGCTGTTCATTCCACACACGGAACCACTCTGTCAAAAACCTGTCCCTATTTCCTTTTTAATCTTTCTTCTCTCATCTTAAAGATATGTCCTCTGGTTTTGAACTCCCCCACGCTTCTTCCCTGTGGTTATCAGACTTTTTAACGGACCTCTTTAATGCTGATTTCGCTCTGCACCCTCTCAGCACCTGTAACATTGTATCCTGCACTCTGTTCTGTTACCCTTATACACTTGTATAGTATGACCTACCTTCTATGAGATAACCCCTCATTTCTTCTGAACTCCAGTGAATATAGTCCTAACCAATTCAACTTCTCATGTCAGCCCTGCCATCCCAGGAATCAGTATGGTAAAACTTTGCTGCACTTGATCTATTGAAGAACATTCTTTTTCAGATAAGATAACCACAATACTCCAGGTACGGCCTCACCAAGACCCTATATAATTGCAGCAAAATGTCCCTGCTCCTGCACTCAAATGCTTTCACTATGAAGGCCAACATACCACTTGCCTTCTTCAACATCTGCATGCCTACCCGGTGTACAAGGACACTCAGGTCTCATTGCGTATCTCTCTCTCTCTCTATTTAGAGCCAGATAATAATCTACCTCCTGTTTTACTACTAATTTATCCACGTTAAATTGCATCTGCCCACTCTCTCAGCTTGTCCAAATCACATTGAAGTATCTCTGCATCTTCCTCACAGCTCACCCTCCAGCCCAGCTTTGTAATATCTCCAAATTTGCAGATGACGCATTTAGTTTCCTCTGTGGTGAGGGGTGGGGGGAGGCAGGAGAGGAGGAACTGAGAGAGGGAAGGCGTGTTTGTTAGTCTGGGAACACAGAGCAAGTCAGAACTCCACAGTGGACACTTCTCCCTCACAGCTCATGGCCTCAAGATTTCAGCTCATGGCTCGACTTCGGGTCCCTCAACCAAGACCTAGTCTTAACCTATAAAAGATCTAACATCACTTGTTCATTTTGGTACACTTTGTCTCTACACTAATGAGAAGGATCATAGCTGCCTTCTTAATCTTCACAACTTCTACAGTCACCATGTGACTTTTTGTAAAGGCCTAGATCCCTATTCCCACACACAGGCCTCTAGGCAATTACAGATGGACAATAAATGCTGGTCTAGCCAACAATGGCCTCATCCCATGAATGAATAATAAAACAAATTAAAAGGTACCATGTATTTTAGAAAGGGGTTGTATAAAATATTACTGAGATAGTCACCTGGTTTCACAGCATCAAATGTCTGACCCAGGTAAACTGGCAAGACTCTTTTCATCCGCTACAGCTCAAAACTTTGCCAAACATGTCCAATTCCCATGAAACAGATTACACACAGTTCCACTCTCACTGACACATCTCTTCCGCATACTCAGAGCTCAATAACAGTATTACAGCAAGAAACTCAGTTTAGTCTCAGGCTGCCAACCCTCAGCGAATGCCCTGGAGTCTCCAGGGTGTGAAGGATTAATCTCTTGGAAACTGCTGTAAGCAATATCCGGGACAGAAATCACGAGGGCACTGAAAGGAAAATGTGTTTTATTTATTTAATTTGAACCCTCCAGTCTATATAGTTACAAAAACATCAAGAATTCAAAAGAATTTGATTTATTGGATGTCAGATCACATGATGAAACCTCCAGGGCTATGCCCAGACAGAGTTGGTAACCCAAATTGTCTCAAAGGAAAACGCACCTTCCAACAAAGTGAACGCAGCCCCCCTTCAGATGGGATCCCTGTGGGTAGAAATGAGGAAAAGATCAGATAAATGCAAAACACTGAAGAGAGAGCGTGAGAGCGGGAGTGAAAAAGAGCAAAAAGAGAGACTGAGCAAGCACGTGCAGAGTTAATGTTTTGCGTCTGACATGACATTTTGCAGCACACTTCTTCAAAGATCAAGCTCCCAAGCAGTAAATTTGACAACCACAAAAATAATTGCTACATTTATTCCATGATCAAACTGTGACATTTTCCTCAATAGGCCAACCTTACAAATCACCTGTATACACAATGAGTCTGTCAGAGATTGTGTCCTCCTAAGACACTGATCCATGACCTCGACATTCCAGAAATTACACACTTCCCATATGACAGTTCTCAGACAGAAAGATAACGCCGTTAATCTTGAGTGGGGATCGAATTGCAACACGAAATGCAAAACAAAACACATGAAAAATTATACAAGTAGGAGATAAAATATTCCTGTTAATATTCCAATTTCTTCTGGAAAGTGTCAGATCCATTGTGGACTTGATCAACTGTTTTACAGACAGGATTTTTCAATAAAAGTTGTGTTTTTTTGTTGCTATTAAATTACAGGAAGGTCATATGAACACATCGATAAAGGAGGGAAGGTCATTCAGCCTCTCAAGCTAAGGTCATGGCTGATCTGACTGCAACTTCAAATCCACATTCCTGCCTACCCCTAATAAACCTTTCCATCCCTCGTTTAACAAGAATCTCTCTACCCTGCCTTAAGAGGCAGAGTGGTGAGGCAATGCATTCTCATACAGCTAGTGAATCTAGAATGCACTGCAAAATATGGTAGAGGTGTCCAATTGAAACATTCAAAAGGGAGTTAGATTGTTGAGGTTGGTTGGCTCGCCGAGCTGGTTTGTTGTTCCGCAGACGTTGCGTTACGGTGCTGGGTAACATCCTCAGCGCAGCCTATGATGAAGCATCTGTGTGTTTTCCTGCCTGGTTTTTAAACTCTGGGGTCCGTTGCGATGGATTGCCTGTCCATGTGGATTGAGATGAGTGAGTATTGGTCGTGTCACTCATCTCAATCCACATGGACAAGGAGAACCACGACTTCGACTGGGACAACACCAAGATCCTGGGACAGGCTAGGCAGAGACAAGCACGAGAATTCCTAGAAGCATGGCACTCCACGAAGCAGGCTATTGATAAACATGTTGAACTCGACCCCATATACATTCCACTGTAGAGGAAACCCGGAAGTGAGGCAATCCGTCGCAACGGACCCCAGAGTTTAAAAACCAGGCGGGAAAACGCACCGACGCTTCATCAGAGGCTGCACTGAGGATGTTACCCAATGTGGTAACGAAACATCTGCAGAACAGCAAACCAGCTCGGCAAGCCAACCAACCTCAACACTCACAACTACAGATCTATTCCAAAACCTTAGGGAGTTAGATTGTTATTTAAAACATAAACAGGAGAAAAGGGGAGAATGGAACCAGGTGAAATGCTCACACAGGGAGCTGGTGAGTTAATAGTGGGGAATACTGGAATGGCAGAGATGCTAAATTAATACTTTGCCTCAGTTTTTACAGTGGAGGACAATAGTACCATTCCTATTGGAACGGGCACGTCAGAGGCAATAGAAAGGGTAGAACTTAGACCAATCAACATCAATAGGGAAAAAATACTCAGCAAACTATTAGGATTGAGAGTAGACAAGTCCCCCAGGCCTGATGGCCTACATCCTAGGGTATTAAAGGAAGTGGCATCAGAGATAGTGGATCCATTGGTTACAATATTCCAAAATTTCCTGAATGCAGGAAAGGTTCCGATGGATTGGAAAAATGCTAATGTATCGCCCTTACTCAAAAAGGCAGGGAGGCAATATGTGGGAAATTACAGACCAGTTAACTTAATATCTGTTGTGGGCAAAGTGTGAGAATCGATTATCAAGGAGGCAATATTAGGACATTTGGAAAGTCAAAACACCCTCTAGCAGAGTCAGCATGGTTTTATGAAGGGCAAATCATGTTTGACTAATTTGCTAGAGTCCTTCGACGATGTAACAAGTAAAGTGAATAATGGGGATCCTGTAGATGTAATATATCTGGACTTCCAGAAGGCATTTAATAAGATGCTGCACAACAGGTTAATTCACAAAGTTGGATCACATGGGAATTAGGGGTAATATATTAGTTTGGATAGCGGACTGGCTGATGGACAGAAGACAAAGTTGAGATAAATGAGTTTTTTTCAGGATGGCATGAAGTAACATGTGGGTGGCACAGGGTTTGGTCATCGGACCCCAGTTATTTACAATCTACATTAATGACTTGGATACAGGGATATAAGGCTCTATAGCCAAATTTGGGGATGACAAAAATAGGCGGGACAATAAATAGCAACGAGAAAATAAGAACCTTACAAATGGATATAGATAGGTTAGGAGAGTGGGCCAAAACGTGGCAGATGGAGTTTAACATGGACAAGTGAGAGATCATGCATTTTGGTCAGAAAAATGGGAACATGACCTATTATCTAAATGGGGAGGGACTTCAGGGTGGTCTGGTGCATAGGGATCTGTGTGTCCTTGTTCATGAGTCACAGAAAACTAGCATGCAGGTACAGCAGATAATAAAGAAAGCGAATGGAATGTTGGCTTTTATAGCTAAAAGAATAGAATATAAAAGGTAAGGAAGTATTGTTGCAACTATACAAGGCATTGGTGAGACTGCACCTGGAGTATTGTGCACAGTTTCAGTCCCCTTATTTGAGGAAAGATGTAATGGCATTGGAGGCAGTTCACTGGATTGATCCCAGAGATGGGGGGGTTTGTTGTATGAGGAGTGGTTGAACAATTCAGGCATGTACTCTTTTGAATTTAGAAGAATGAGTGGAGATCAAATTGAGGTATTTAAGATGATAAAACGTATGGATAAAATACATGTGGAGCAGACGCTCCCTCCTGTGGGACGTTCTAGGACGAGACGGTCACAGTCATTAGGGGTAGCAAATTTTAAAAAGCGAGGAGAAACTATTTCTCCCAAAGGGTTGTGAATCTGTGGAATTTGCTGGGACAGTAAGTAAATTTAAGGATTTTTAATTGGTAACAGGTTGAAGGGTTATGGGGAGAAGGCAAGAAAATGGGAGGGGAGCATATCAGCCATGATTGAATGGTGGAGCAGACCCGATGGGCCGAATTGCCTAATTCTGTCCCTATTTCTTACAAACTTATTATGGTGCAGACATTATGTGCTGAATGGCCTCCTTCTACACTATAATAGTCATTGAAATCTTTCAGGACTCAACATTACTCAATACCTCACTGCACCAGAAATGTCAGATGGTGAAAATAATTCCCTTTGAAAATGCATACCAATTCAAGAGTTGGTTCCATATCTTCAGCAGGAACATTCTACACATTTGTTTGTGGAACTTGCTACCCACTCTACAGAAGCTGATACTGAAATAAGGGAAAGCTCTCCTTACCATTGAAGCAAAGTTCCTGCAGCTTGGTAAGGCTGATCTTTGGTTCAGTCAGAGCAACTCTGAACTCTGCAATCCTGTAACAAAAGACAACACTCTATAAGAAAGTTCTTTTTCAACACACACCATATCAGCTGTCTGCACTGTGATTCACATGGAGTTTAAGATCAAAACCATTTGGCTGATTAAAAAACTTGCTCAATGGACAGATATAATGCTTATCAAAACAGAGCATTGAAGGCGGAAGCTCAACATTTGAAACAGCTTTTTGTTTTCTTTATTCATTCACAGGATGAGGGCGTCTCTGGCCAGGCAGCATTTATTGCCCATCCCTAATTGCCCAGAGGGCAGTTAAGAGTCAACCACGTTGCTGTGGGTCTGGAGTCACATGTAGACCAGACCAGGTAAGGATGGCAGTTTCCTTCCCTGGAGGACATTAGTGAACCAGATGGGTTTTTCCAACAATCAATTCACAGTCATCATTAGATTCTTACTTCCAGATATTTATTGAATTCAAATTCCATCATCTCCTGCGGCGGGATTTGAACCCGGGTCCCCAGAACATTATCTGGGTCTCTGGATTAACAGTCTAACGATAATACCACCAGGCCATCATCTCGCCATGTTGCTTAACCCTTGGTGGTATCCCTCCAACTTGCAAAGTTCCTGGCAAGAATTTCCACGTCCTACTAGCTCCCCCATTCTCCTTTACCCCACAGTCCAAACACTCTCTGCTACACCCACCAACGCTGTCCCCCATTCTCTCATCTGTGTGTCTCTATCGCTCTCGCTCTGAGCCCCACAAACTCCCCTGCTGTCTGTCCATTTCACCTTCACTGTCTGTCTGCCTGTCTGTCTGTCCCTCTCTCTCGGCCCACCCATCTCCCATTCTCTGCCTGTCTGTCTGTCCCTCTCTCTCGGCCCACCCATCTCCCATTCTCTGCCTGTCTGTCTGTCCCTCTCTCTCGGCCCACCC